ACCCGGTTTGTTGTATATTTACGTGTAGGCCCGGGCACACATTGTAATTATTGGTTGCGGTTCAAAAAGTATTAGTTAAAATTTGTATGCGTGATGGCATGAAAAAATCTATAGTCGGATTGATAAGTGACGACAACCGTATTAAATTTGTATAAGTTTTAAAGATTTTCTATAAGTGGAACAGTTGCAAAAAATCGTTATTCATCTTCAAATATGGAAATGAAAAGGAATAAAATACTGTTAATACTCTCATATTTTTTTTTCTTCGACCTCTAATCCTCCCTCCCCTACTTTCCTTCAATTCATTTCAACGCTTTATTTTTTATTTTTGAAAAATATTTGATTAAGAAACAAAAACTGTTGTTGATAATTGTAATTCATTGTTTGCTGATATATATATTTTTTTTAATTAAAAACTCCCCCCCAAAAAAAATTAAGTTGTATTTCTGTTGGCACGCAAAATGGATATAAGATATATAATTGCGAGCCATTTGGAAAATGTTATTCAAAATGTAAGTATCAGTTCTTTTTTGGGAACAATACCTGTAATACTCATTATTAAAATGAACGATTATTAGAGAACATGTTTACCATAATTTCCGCTAGATCTAACAAAAAATTTGATTTATACAAATAATAATATGTTGTATCATAAAACATAGCTGATGGCGGTATTGGAATAGTTGAAATGTTATTTTGTACATCGTTAGTTGCTTTAGTCGGGGCTGGCGAACATCCTTCATTTTCTCCGAGACGTTTACAAATTACTAATACTAAGGTAAATAAATATTCATATTATTATTATTATAGTTTTGATTTTGTTTAAATTTTTATAGATATTAACTTTATTATTTTTTCCAAAAACAAATTGTGAAATTAAAGCGACAATCAACAATATGTGAACTTACTTTCAACACTTCAATTCTTGCCGTTAAACTTAATCGTCGTAGATTGATTGTTGTATTGGAACAAACGATCTTTGTTTACGATATTAGTAATATGAAATTATTGCACACAATTGAAACTAGTCCTAATCCAAATGGTAACTTATCATTATTTTTTTTTTTTGTTATATTATTATCATATTTATTTACATCTACTTTACATATCGATAGCAATTTGTGCTTTATCATCATCAAGCAATGATAATTGTTATATAGCATATCCATCACCCGCTCCACCACCATCTTCATTATTTTCCAGCCATGGCTCACAACAACCATCCCCATCTGGTGATGTCTTGATTTTTGATGCTGTACAACAACAAGTTGTCAACATCGTCCAAGCACATAAAAGCCCTGTTTCATGTGTATCTATCAATTCAGAAGCGACTTTGTTGGCAACTGCTAGTGACAAGGTACACACACACACATATATAAATTAATTGTAAACAGTAATAATTAATTTTTTTCTTTGGAAAAAAATTATTTTTTGATTGCGATTAAAAATTTAGGGTACTGTCATTCGAGTATTTTCCATTCCAAATGCACAAAAACTTCATCAATTTAGGCGTGGCTCATACCCAGCCCGCATACACTCCATTTCGTTTAACATTGTA